CTACGACGAGGGGACTATAACCTATCCACCTATCCTATGATCCGTCTATCATAAAATATATTTTATGCTAGCTCTGTGGTTGGTGCGAGCCGGGTGCAGATTTCGTGCTGAACAGCCAATGCAGGAATTTGAACCAAGGTCCTCTTGTGTCCTATTTATTTGGACAGACTGAAAACATCAAAACTTGTTTGATTGCATGAGAAAACGATGAGATGGATGCGATTGTTTGTAAAATCTCCAAGTTTCCACTGGTTGCAAAATGGCTTTCATGTTTTTCCTGCTAACTTACTCACTAGGGACTTTATTTCATTTTACAACGGCAGTTGAACAGCCGACTCAATCCTGAGTTTAAGACTACCAGTATTCAACTCCGTAGCCTCGTAATTTGAACCCAATCCAGAAGACAAGGGAACTCCTGATAAAGTATTGCGAGATATTTCCCTTCGTGGAGGACTTTTTGATGGAACTAACCGTATTGGTGTTACAGAGAGAAGAAAAACACGAAAACTTCTCCTGGATAGCCTCAGGGAGACTATCACCCATGATCTGCCTACCACTGAGGATTTTTTATGTCAGTATTGAGGTCGGTGTGAGACTGGTGCTGATATCGTATCGNAACCTTGCCCGGCCCGAGGATCGAACCAGGGACCTGTGGCACGACAGCGCGAAGCGCTAACGCTCAGCCAGCGGGCGTCGTTCTATCCCCTGAACCAACCTAAATAATGATTCGGCATATCATGTTAACGAAGCCGTGGTGGTTCAGGGGATATACTCAGGTTCGAATCCCTGTAGTGGCTGGTTGCTTCTGGCTCGCACCAATCGCAATGCTGATGTAAAATATTTTCAGTAGTAGTGGGTTAGAACCCCCTTGCCGTCGGACTAAGCGTAAGAGGTTTTCGTGGTTTTTCTCTCTCCATGTAACGCAAATGCAGGTTAGTTGTCAAAAAGTGCTCCACGAAGACAATTTTGTCCTAATGCTTCATCCAGGAATTCCCTTGTCTTCTGGATTGGGTTTAAAGTTACAAGGCTGCAGAATAAAACATTAGCTAGTCGTAACCTCCGAATTAGGTCAGCCGTTCAATGTTGGTTGTAATATAATTTACGTTGACAAGCTACGAAACCGTTTTCGAATTTTCCTTGATTAAATATCAGTTTACAAACAATAATTTATAATAAAATTGGTTTAAAATAACTACAGCCAAGAGTAACAGCCACGACTTTTATGTTCCGAATCTGGTAATGATTCCAAAACATTGATATTAAAGGCCGGCACTACAGAGCATCTTGTACATGAAAACAGGCATTGGTTATTCTTATTTACTTGTAAATATCAATAAAAATAAACAAATAAATAGGATTTTTTAGAATCCATTCCACATATGAAACATAAAAGCCACTAACTCTAAGTAATAATTATTTTCAACAAATTGTATTATACACATAAAGGATTGAAACTAATTATTAATGAAGGAAAATACGAAAACGTTATCGTATCACGTTAACGTAAAATACCTGATTTCCAATGAGGTAAGTAGCATGAAATACGTAAAAAGATGCTTGGTTTCTGAAGAAAATTCAACTTTCTAATAATCGCCTTAGACTTCAAGGCGATTATTAGAACGTCTAAGACTTAAGCTCTAAGGCTTAGAGCGTCTCTCTGTTTCCTCAAGTAATCAAACAGACTTTGATGTTTTCAGTCTAGCATTTTACTGTATTGATTCGTTAAATTTTGATAGCATATTTTTTTACGTTTTTTCCGAATCCAATGGTACTTCTTACTTATGAGACTTCGTTTTTGACATGAATTCTAAAAATATACATTATTAGTTGTCATTACAGAGAAATTACCTTGTGAAATAATCATCAACAATTCAGAGGCAAAAATCTTAAATTAAAATAATAATAATTTATCTTATTGAATACTTTAATATTTATATTTTTATTCGAGGTTTTAAAAAGATTTTAGTTTCCGTTATTAAGAATTCAGTACATATTTCTAAGAATTTTCATATGAGAAATATAATACGCAGAGCATTAAATAGTTAACTACGACAGCACAGAACTAGTGAGACAAGCAGCTCAGAGTTTTCAGAATGTTCTAAACACGGATACAGTTAACTGAAGTAAACAATGTGATAATTTATGTTACAAAAGTGCAAAAGTGTTTCATTAAATGTTAAAGTGATAATTTACTGCAGATTAATTTTCATCTCAAAACCTTTTATTTTGAACTGTCGTTGTGAAGGACTGGGGTTCGATCCTCAGTGGCGGTTTGATGCCAACCCAGCTTCAGATCGATATTCTATCTGGGAACTAAGGGCGGTCAGTGCGCGATGATGATCGCTTTTCCACAATCATACTAATGTTTGTAAAATTGTGGAGTGAATCTCAGGCCTAACCAACAAGCTGCTGTGGGAACGCTTTACTTTTTTTAAATCTTTTATTTAGAATAGTTATTTTAAGCACGTTGTATTCTTACAAATAAAATATTACAATAAAATGAAATATTGTAAGGGAAATTTTATTTCAAAAATTAGATACATTTTACTATTGAGAAATTCTACCATGTACTGAATATCGTATTTGCAGACTTGAAAAGCATAAAACTCAGTTAAGAAAATTTGCGTAGTTCTAATAATTTTTGTGAACTTAATTCTTGGTGTCATTTACATTTACCACAATTTTTAGAAATTTATTTATTTTTTAAAACTAAAAACTAGCTGTTACGAATGTAGAAACCAGTTTTTATTTTTTAAGAAAGTTGTTGTAAATTGGAGTATGTATAAATTGATATCAAGACTTATTTCATTTTTTTTAATAACCGTCGTTGAACTGCTGACCCAATTTTTGGGTTTACAACTTCTAGTGTTCAATTCCATAGTAATGTAATTTTGAGCCCAATCCAGAAGACAGGGGAACTCCTGGATCAAATATTAGAGAAAAGTTGCTTTCGTGGAGGACTTTTTGATGAAACTAACCGGCATTTGCGTTACATGAAGAGGAAGACCACGAGAACCTCCCACGGATAGCCTGACGGCAAAGGGACTCTAACCTATGGTCCGTCTACACTAAGGATATTTCACGTCAGCACTGTGATCGGTGCAAGCTGGATGTGGATTCGTATGTACCAGCCATCGCTGAGATTCTAACCCGGCTCACCTCATTGAAAAGTGAACGCTTTATCCCCTGAGCCATCGTGGCTCTACAGAGACTTATTTAAAATTTGAACTGCTAAATTTTTAAAAAAAATTAGTTATATGCTTTGAACTAGTGCAAATGTAGAACTCCTAAAATGTAGAATCGCATAATTTTTTGTGATAATAACTTAATAAAATATTAGTTTTCTAATACTGAAAGATTTATAATGTTTTAGTTGATTAAAATATTATGTAGCATCAACACAAACGTTTGAAATTAGGAATCAAAGTATTATAAGAGGAAAGCAAAGATTTCAATTATTTATTTCATACAGAAAAATGTAGAAGGGAAATTTTTGTGTGATATCGGGCAATGATTGCAAAGAAATGATGCGTAGAAAAATTACTTCTACAAATAATTGTTTTACTACATCAGCACATTAAAACAGTATTCAAACATTTTTATTTAAAAAATGCTCGTAAAAGTATTAATAATAATATGCAACAATACGTATGTGATTAGAGTTTTCAATGCAACAAACGAATATTCAATGAATTATTAATATTGTATACGGTAATCAAGTATTTGCAAATTCAACCCTTCTTCAACAATTAGTTTAATTTAATAACAATATTGGGTGAAGTAAAATAATGAAGTACTTGCTGTGCTAATTTAAAGTACTTCAGAGAAATTGAAATTCAAATATAGTGTGTCATTTAACTATTAAAACTAATGTTTACACATTGTATTTACCTTATATTTAGCTGATTAATAAGTAATAAGTCAGCAAAAAGTCACTTAGTTTTTTACCTAGACTTTTTTTTAAACTAATAATTATTCTTTGTTTATGATAATAAACCTATAACAATTTTTATAATTACTTACAAATAACACTGGGGAACAATTTTTTTTTGTTTAATGTTGCATGAGATTTTTTTAACAGATCTTAGATACTTTTGTATCGCTGATTTCAAACCTATGATTTCTCACTCCAAGCCATAGATTTTCTTTTAAAAGGACATTTTTAGATTATTTTTTGTCGAAGTGTACAAATTTAAAAATGTTACACAGGCTATGGAGTCACTTAAACGTTGGGACAATTTTCTAGGATAGTTAAGGGATATCATCATGATTAAAACTGCCTAGGAACCCGTGATCGGAAATGTCACACTCCGCTAGGGGCCTTCCTTATTATGAATTGTTTCAGCATGTGCTTTTGAACAAGTCATAATAAAGAAGCTGTCTCAGCCGTGTATGACGACACTTCCGGACATGGGTTCCTATGCAATTTTATGTATGATGTATATCAGTTTCCTCTAGAGGATTGTAGCAACATTTATGCTACACCCTGCTATATGTAACTCTTTTAAACTTGTAGATTACTACAAAAATAGACATTAAAAAAATCTGTAGCGTTAGGAGCAAAACTAATTTCAAATTTGAAATCCCCACACACGAGGCAAGATTAAGTTTTTGTATAAATGCAACAAACAATTTATATCCCAGTGTAATTAGTAAAAGAGTAAAATTGCCCATACATAGAACTAACTCCCATACATCTTTTCAACTGTCCCGCTATACTGGCACAATTGCAGCAAATAAGTGACAATCTGTGGGCAGATTTATATGAAGAAAATTGCCTTCAAATTGCAGATGTTGTATGACCTATGATCACATTTAAAATTATTTTCTGTCCATGACACGACACCAACCAACCAACCATTAGTAAAAGAGTAATATCTTTTTACTGATAACTTCGATTTTTAATTCATGAGTAATTAAGAAAATAATTATGTTCAATTAATAATTATTTTGTTATCAATTGTATTAGACTGAGCAAAACTAAAATTGTTTGAGTATACCTCATTTCTGAAGAGTCCTTCCATGGCTGGGGATATACCAGGTAATGAAATGGCTATCATCATGAAAGCGTGGAGTATGAGAGATAAAACTAAATTCTGATGAACTCGAACTCTGGAGCAATAAAGTGTTCTGTCGGAAAGAAAATGATAAGGATAAGAATTATAACAAATACTTGAAAATAAATATCATGAATATGACTGAATATTACAGCATATGCATGGTAATTATACATTACTAAAAGGAGAATTCTTAAAACTTCACCTGAAAGTTACGGTCAAGCACCGGTAATTCTGATTTTCTGGAGCAATTCATCTATCACCAATTACAGTTATAGACTATTCCGCGAAAATTTTTTTCATTTTAGTTATATTTTGCTTTTTAATGATTCTGTTTGCGATTATAAAATACTTAAAAAAATATTAATCAATACTGTGCAACATGCGAAATAATAGGTTTGGGTTCCCATTAATGATTTCTACCATTGTGTTACTACTGTTTGATTCAAAACCTTTTCTATATTTCGTGTAAAGTTTTAAAATAGAGCTTCAGCATTTGATCATCAAATTGATTTGATTTGATGAGCAGTATTTTTGGAGATATTCTTACCACTGCGCAAAGGTGCTGTAATTGAAAAATTTACTTTCAGAAGTTTAAAAAGAACATTTTTTAAAAATTTCAATGGTTCAAGTGGTGGCTATTTCCTTCAATATGCATGGTAATTAAATTTATAGAATTTCGGAAACTGATAGATACAAGGTGCCAGTAAACGGCAGCACCCAAAACCCTCAGAAAGGAATCAATTTGAGAAAGCGATTCTAAAGCTGCACCTCTCTTCTACACCATCCCTCCGTTCGAATCGAACTTTACTCATTCTAATTGTTTAATTAAGATTACGATTAAGATTACGCCATGTGGTAATTTTATATGCATAATAAGGATAAATATCTATTAATAGATGCATGTAAGATCTTTAAAAAAGTAATAATTTTTTAAAGGATTCTGTATTTAGTACAGAAGTACAGTTCTGTGGCATCTTAGATCTTCATTATAACTTTTTGAAGCCATGAAGAAAATTCCATACCCCGCTAACATTTGTCTATATTTGTAAGACGGGAACTTTTATGAATATTTGATATTCTTAGAATATTATAAAATTAAGCAACACTTATGCAATTTTAAAAAATATTTTTTTATAGGGTTAAGCATGATGCAATCGAGAATAGTTTGATTTGAAAATAATCAATAATAAAACAGATTACATCATATTACCTGTCTAGACATTACTATTAGATGCAACTTTGAATAAAAAAACATTTTCTTTTTGCTTGAGTTATTGTCAGAAATTTGCATACATAATTTTCATAAAAGCTAACAAAAAAGTAGGTACCTGAAAAACCAGAAAATGAAGATAGTGACCAACAGTGATGCTAATGAAATGATGGAGATGATTAAGATGATGTAGCTAATGGTTATAGGAGAAATTTGATGTCTATCTTCTATGTCTATCTGCAAAATAATAGAAAAACTAGATTACTTTTTTTTGTTCATTATTACATGATGGGCAAATTGGGGAAATGTCAGAGAAAAGGAAACGAATTGTGGTTTCGAACCGCTGAAAGCTCAAAGAGGAAACGATTATAGATACAATAGACATCGATAATTTGATTTCTCTTGAATTTTTTTTTATTGACTACAAATTTAAAGTTTATTTAATAATTAAGTTTTTTCCTACTTCTTTATTTTTGGTCTGTTTCGGTTAGAAAACTGTAACGATATCTAAAGTAAAAGTTAAATAAACAAATAAAATATTGATACATAAATAAAAGTTAATAAATAAAAAATTAATAAATGAAAAATTAATAAATAAAAAATTAATAAATAAAAAATTAATAAATAAAGAAAAATAAAAATTAATAATTAAAAAATTAATAAATAAAAATTAATTAATAAAAAATTAATAAACAAAAAATTAATAAATAAATAAGCCAAGATTATGGAAGAAGATAACTGAAGAAGTGAGGCAGGGAACGAGCATGAATGATATTCAGAGTCCTTGCTTTTCATTTTTATTGCCGAATCACAGCGAAGAAATCATTAAGTTATCGCTAAGAAAAGGTGCAACCTCTTTCCTTCCTTCTTGGCTTGCAATTCTGATTTCTATTTGCACACTTTTTCACAGTAGTAAAACTAAACTTCATGATACATAAATAAATGTCATTAATAATAAGCTAAATTTTAAAATCTGTACGATATCAAAAAACTAAGCCTACAATGGAGCAGGATCAAATCTTAGAACAGAAGAATGAAAATTATTATGGAAGTAGCAATGAAAACAGGAAAATGATGCAAAAAATAACATGGGATAATACCTGATACTTTTTCAAACTGAAATTAAAAAAAATATTAGTCGAAAAAAGAAAATCAAGAAAAGAGCAGGAGTGGTATTTAGTGTCCTTGCTCTTTATTTTTATTGCTGATTCATAATTAATACGTCATTTAATTAACTTGAAGCATTATAACCTCTTTCCTATCTCCATGGATGCAATATTGGTTCCTACTGGTACACACTCTCTCTCGTATGCCTGTTTAGGCAAAGGGGTGTGATTGTTCTTGTTTTCTAGTGGCGCCATCTATGGCCAAGAATTCGAATTCTGCCACACACATATGTCACATCCGTTTATAGGGCGGACCCATTCATTCATCCATGGATCGTAATATTGACCTGAATCAGAGAACGACCGATTTCCAATCCAGTACCTCCAGAGGTATTGACTTGTTATGGGAGCATGGAGGACTTTGCGACTCGACAGATTTAACGTGCCATTTACTGCACGGGAAGTCTTCGGCCAACGGGGTTCGAACCCACGGACTCTCGGACATGAGCCCAGCGCCCTACCGACCAGGCTATCTCGGTCTACTGCTACACTTTTTTACAGTAATAAAATTTATACGTCATGAGACATAACTAAATATCATAAATAATATGTTAAATTTTTAAATCAGCGAGATAACAAAAAATTAAGCCTGCAATGGAACAGAATGTTAGTAGAGAAAAATGGAAATTATTACGGAAGTAGATATGAGGAAAGAAAAGTGATGCAAATAAATAATATAGAATATTATTTGATATATTTTCAAACTGAAATTAAAATTTCAAATTTTTGCTAATTCTAATTTTGGGTACTTTGTTTGCCTTTACGGTTTCCTTTAAGTATGGATTAAAAATTTTCGACTGAACTTATATGGAAAAGATTTCTGCAGGAATGGTATATAGTATGAATTAAATATCAATGAAATGAACATTTTACAAAATGTGGAATATCTATATTCTATATCTATGTAGAATATCTATGTATTTTATCATACGGCATGAAATAACCATCACAGAATATACAGTGCGCAAAATAAAAAACGGACCACCCTGAATAACTTTTGATATAATAATCGCATCTTCATGTTCTAGGATTCAATCTTAATGGTTCGAAGGGAAGAACTTAAATAGGCAAAGTAATTATTGCAGATGATATTTTAAGTTACGAAATCAGTCACAAAAACGTACTTTCTCTAAATAAACATACCACAAACCAGAATCGGATTTTTGACCTCCAAAATACAGGGAATAGTCAAAATCAGGGAAATATGGTCTCAATAGTTTGGTCAGGAGAACTGTCTTAAGTTTGGATTTATTTAACTATTGCATTTATTTAACTTTTTGCGTATTTTATCATACTTCAAGAACTTTTTAAGTGAGCTGAAAAATTTTGCCCACAATTGTAAATTTCGTTTATCCAAAGACAATTCCGCACAAAATTTAACTCTTTTAAGAAATATTTATTATTTTATCTAATAATAAACGAAAAAATTAGGAATCGTAAATAGTCAAAATTTTACATCATTTCAAAGAATTTAATTTTGAATGATAAAATACAAAATTTGAGCGAAATCGTTCGAATAGTTCCTGAGAAAACGAGTTTTAAATGTAAAACATTTTTAAAATTCTGTTTCTCAGAAGCTATTAGACCGATTTCACTCAAATTTTGTATTTTATCATTTACATTTGCAGTTTTTTAAATGGCGTAAAAAATTTTATACCTTACAATTCAAAAGCTTTTCGTTTATTAAAAAATAAAACAATAAAAAATATTTATTAAAAGTTAAATTTTGCATGGGATTGTTTTGGCTAAACAAATTTTACAATTATGTGCAACATTTTTTAAATTCGCTTAAAAAGTTGTTAAACTTTGATGAAATACGCAAAAAGTAAAATTAACATTCTGAGGCTCAAACTTTGGACTGCTCTCCTGACCGAACCATTGAGAACATATTTCCCAGATTACGGCTTACCGCTATATTTTGGGGGTCAAAAATCCGGATCTGTCGTAAAAAAAAGATGTGTTTATGCAGAGAAAGTATGTTTTGTGGCTGATTTCGTAACTTAAAATAACGTCTGAAATAATTAATTAGCGTATTTGTCACCTCCTCCAACCATTAAGATTGAGTCCCAGAATGTACAAATCCGTTCATTAGATCAAAAGTTATTCAGGGTGATCCGTTTATTTTTTTGGCACTGTACATGCAGACATACCTATGAACAGGGTCGAACATTCCATTAGGTAAACATAGGCAACCACCAAGAGGCGTCAGAGAAAAGGGCAGTAAACTCTTGTCTATGGTTAATTTTTGTAATCAATTTAAGTAACCAATTTTGTTATTTAGCATATATATAGTTTGGATGGCTACCTGTGACCTAAGAAATAACAAAAATTCAAAATTCCAGTAAAGTAGTTTTGATTGCTAAAGTATAAATAGCTATATAGTGTTTCGAAGTTTGTTTTCATTCAAATAAAACATATATGATGTTCAAGAGATGAGAAATGATTGGATGGATGTCTTATTATTTTTATTCCTTTATTAGAATTCCTTCATACATTCCTTCAGGAATTTTCAATCATTTAATAATTATAATTTTTATTAAATTCAGTTGATTTTAATTATTACCAAAGATTAAGAGATAAAAAGTAATGTTGCGTAAATGAAAAATAATTGTGAATTTTAAATTAAAGTGAGTTTTGGTTATAGTTAACACATTCGAAGTCGATTTCGCATTTTTAATAGTTCAATTTTTAAAAATTGCTGTCATCAGTACAAATATTTAAAGCTCACAACTTTTGCATCTCGAAAAGTCTGCTGATAAACTAAGGTTATATTTAATAATATTCATAGCTAGCAGAAAAAATTTACTAAGTGGTTGTGATTTTTAGAACAATGTACAGTGAGCAAAAAATAAACATATCTACAGTGGAAACATATTTTGAGTTTTTTTTTATTGTAATACAATGAAGAAAATCAAAATTCTGAGAGAGATCATTCATTATACGACTAGTGAACTGGGAAAATAAATTGTAACCAAAAGCATGCAAAACAAAATGGCGGATATAGCATACTATAAAAAAGCTGGATCAAATTACGGTAAAAAGTACCTACCCACATCTTCCGTAACATCAATTTTACCGTAAAATTTTATACCGTATATTTTGAATTAATGATTATTTAACTACGGTGGTTCAGTGATTTTACAATAAATATTACTGAAAAAATTACGGTATATCAAATATTTTGTTCCGTTTATGATAAAAACAGATGTTACGGTAAAAAGTATCAGTACCTTGGTTGCCCGTACTTATTAATGTGACCTGATCCTAAATTTTTTTACTAAACAACGTTTTTCCTCGATACAGTCTTTCTTCCAGCTATTACATCCTTCGGAAAAATTTATTTGAGTAAAAAAAATAATTCGGTAATTTAAAATAAAAAAAATAATAATAACAATGATTATTTTCATAATTTGAAATTCTTCCTTCAAAAAAAAAAAATCCCCAGAAAATTTTTTCTAAAAAATAAAATTTTAAATAAACTACACCACGAAATTGAGCAATTCTACATACTTCCGAAATGAATGAAATTTTAAACGAAATTGAGCAATTCTACATACTTCCGAAATGAATGAAATTTTAAATACACAGTTAAATGCACATCCGTGAAGATTTGTTTCTGTAAACAAATGTAACTTTAAGAAAAACGCGTTTGAAGATTCTTGAACACAAGAAGAGGATTGTAATGTTATACAAATCTTAAATATGTATTTTCATAACCCAAAGAACTACATTACTACATTAAACCTTCATGATACATAAATAAATGTCATTAATAATAAGCTAAATTTTAAAATCTNCCCATAAATTAAAAAACTTTTTTATTCATAGTAAATATTATTTTATTATGATCTCTTCAATAAATTTTGTAAATTTGCAAAGTCTTTTACTTGCAACTTTCTCAGTTATGGAAATATTAAATGGACTTCTGGGGAAAATCAATCCGACTGTGGTAATTTCATTATGTAAAATATTTTTAAATGAATTATTCAAATGAATTTTGAATTGTGCAATCAGTCAGCGGTTGAATTCATCTGACATTTAAAATTTAACTTTTAGTTCTCTGTCAAAATA